ACCTATGTAAGACAAGATGGCGATGAGAATATCATGGTCAACGGTATTAAAGGCGTTAGAAAAATCTATTAAAACTAACACCGTCAACTTTCCAAACTCCATGCCATTACGCACATCCTCAGTTATTTTTAAAAGCGCCGTTGTGGTGCTATGTCCAGGTCGAAATCCTGATTGGTATTGATTCAGTAAGTTGCTTTTGGTTAAGTGAGTTTGTATCTGTTTGAGCGCTACAGCTTCTAAGACTTTTGATAAAAACGGCAAAATCGAGATAGGCCGGAAGTGATTGAGAGCACTGGGCATAGAGATTTTTGGAAGAGGAAGAACAAAAGCCTTCTGCCAGCATAACGGAAACTTCCCAGTAAGCAATGAGCGGTTTATAATGGAAGTTAAAATTGGTAAAATATGATCTGAAACATATGATATCATGGTTCTTCCTATGTTGTCATGACCTACTGCCTTTGACTTAAGTTTTTGTAAATAACTTTAAAAATACTTTTAAAATATCCTTCTCAGTGACAGCAGAAAAAGAAAAAGAATCAGTATGCAGGGATGACATGGAAGTAATATCCGAAATAGTTTTCATTTTAATGTGAGATGGGAGACAAGCCGCTGTAGAAAAGTGAGCATAGAGATCATTTAATGAGAAAATATATGAGATTGCTTGTTTTTTAGTTTTACTGAGACCATGAGAGTGAATGAACTTCCATGTCTCCAATTGCGAAGAATTAATTAGGAAGTCATGAAAATATCGGCGTTTAGCAGACTTCACCACCTGATTGCAGCGATTCCTAACCTTTTTGAAGGCCTCCCAGTTCTGTATAGTACGGCACGATTTATATGTAACAAAAGCTCTGTTGCGTCTGTTCATTGCCAGGCGTACGTCGCTAGTAATCCACGGTACTGATGGACGTTTCATTTTAACCTCGCGTTCTGGCGCATGTGTATTGAAAATATTCAATAATTTAGAATTAAACTCCATAACCATATCATTAATTGAGTCAGTATTTAGCACCTCACACATCATTAATTAAGCATCTCTATTTAATCGAGCATAGCTACGTAACTTTATTGTATGAGGGATATGTTTAGGTGGTTTTAATTTATATGAGAGAAATAACAAGTCATGGTTCGAAAAACCAGGAGCTGGGAACTGACCATAACTCGCAACTTTATTAGAAGATGTAATAATTAAATCGATCCAAGAATCCGCGGTAGAAAAATTAGAGTGAGTAGCTTTAAGGGGGGAGAATGGAGAGGTTGACCGAGTTTATGATGGATCGTAACTTTTGAGAATTAGAGGAGTTTTTTAACAGGTCTGTGTTGAAATCACCCATAATAACTTGATGTGTGTATATCTATCCTAGATAACATCTGCTCTGAGCAGATGTTATCTAGGATAGATTCCAAAGTGGAGAAATAATTAATAGAGAGCATAAATTTCTTAATAATATTTATAAATAATAACCCTTTTTATACAAACTTAGTTTAATAAAGTTTTTGAACTTTGTTTATGTCAAATTTTATATATTTTCTGGGATTTTGTTGTAAAAGCGTATACATCGCCCTAATAATGAATTACTGACTCGGTGGAGTCGAGTAACTGGTACTACTAACTTGTGTCTGTTCCTAGTATTTACAGAATGATTATCACTTATTTTCGCAAAACTACTTTTATTTTTGTGTACGTACATTACATTTTCGTAAATGTATTGAGAGGCCAGAGTTAATATATTAATTTCCTTAAATTTTTGTCTGAGCGACTCTCTAGGTTTTGAAATCATATATTGCTCCCTCCTGGCCTCTTCTGTGAAATAAATATAATTTCTGTGATAGTCACGTGTCCCCATATCAAAATACCAGACGACATTACAACACATAGCGCAATGCAATAAATTGAATTGAATTATGCTACGGAAATAGCTAAAGTAAACTAGTCTAGCTGTTTCAACACTGGTAAGAGTTCTTATTTTTTTTAGAGCATATGCTGCTAAGTCTGCTAGCTGGTTTAGATATATGGGGGCCCCATTGAAGCTTTGCGTCTAGTGTGATTCCAAGAAAAATGGTAGTACCAACAAGACTCAGCTCCTCCCCATTTAAAATTACATTAGTATTAACATGTTTGACATTCGAAGTTACGAATTTTACATATATTTACATTTAGATTTAGTTCCATTTAAATGCTAATTATTAACATTAAACCAGTTGACTAACTTAGCTGTAGCATTATTAACTTCGTCATAATTTAATAACAATCGTTTTAATTTGAAAATTAATGAAGTGTCATCAGCAAATAATACTATATCATGGTTATCCCCAACGACGTAAGGTAAGTCATTAATATATACAAGAAATAGAAATGGGCCAAGAATTGAGCCCTGAGGCACACCCATTTGTTATATCGACCCGGAAGAATTCATAGTATTAATGGCAACTTTTTGCGTTCTGTTACTTAAATATGAAATAATTAATTTAAGAGCATCACTTCTTACACCGTAGTGTTGAAGTTTCCAAATTAATGTTTCAAGGTGAACACGATCGGAGGCTTTGGATAGGTCACAGAATATACCCAAAGTATCCTGTGGTAAGTATCCTGTGAGTTCTCCCATGCATTGAAGATATATTTATATCAGCTCAACACCAGCATCAGTTGTCGAGCGACCCCTTGTAAAACCGAATTGATTTTTATGAAGTAAATTATTTACATTAAAGAAATTTAACATTCGATCAAGAATAATTTTTCAAAAACTTTACTGAGTGTTGGCAGTACAGAAATAGGTCTAAAATTAGCGGGGTCCAATGTACTACCAGATTTAAATAAAGAAACACTCCGAAAAATTAAATCTGGACGTAAAATGGATAATACCTACGTGCGTCAAATTACCAAAGTTGTATGTGTTACTTAAAATACACAAGCTCCATTACGTCTCATAGTGAGCTAAATCGATTCACCAACTTACAGATTGGCTCAACACTTAGCGAAAATACTCTCACCGCTCAGGGGACATACAAGAGCACACATAAAGGATTCCATACCATTTTGTCAGCGAGATTAAAGACCTACATCTGGCAGACAATGAAACTGTGGTCAGTTTTGATGTGCAGTCATTGTTTACATGCTTACCTGTTGAAGACTGCATCTCAATTGTAACTAGAAGGCTGGAAGAAAACAACATGCCCGTAGAATATGCAGTATTACTCAGACACTGCCTTACATCTGGCTACCTATTGTGGAAGGAGGAGTTCTACAAGCAAGTAGATGGTGTGGCGATGGGCTCACCTGTATCTCCCATTGACGCCGACATATTCATGGAAGACTTAGAGGAGAAAGACACGTACAAGCGGTACGTAGACGACACTTTTACAATTCTACCTTTAGATAAAGTAACTGCATTTTTAGACCATCTCAACCCTATAAATTCTAAAATTCAGATGTGTTAGTAATTCGGAATCCTGATAACACCTTGAGCCATACTTGGTATAGAAAAAAGACCCATACAGATAGATATTTAAACGGTGATTCTCACCACCATCCTTCACAGTTAGCTACTGTGGGTAAATCTTTGTTTCAGAGAGCACGAGGGATCTGTGACAAACACCTGGCTGCCGAGCTCCACCATGTCAAACAAGTTTTGCATGACAACAAGCTTCGGGTCTCGCGCCTACGTCACTGTGAACGAGTGAAGCCGGCCATAGTCCAGCGTGTACCTGCTGTACTGCCATATGTTAGAGGAGTCACTGACAAGATTGGCTACATCTTGAAGCGCGCTTCCATCAAAACATACTTCAAGCCGCCGAAGAAGATTAGTCAGTTTTTACCATCAGTCAAGTGTAACGTCCCTCTGCAAGATGCAGGAGTGTACAAGCTTGATTGTGAGTGTGGTCTCTCCTACATAGGACAAACTAAAAGATCAATTAAAACCCGCGTTAAAGAACATATAGCTGATGTGAAGAATCGACGCTCCGGGAAGTCTGCAGTCTGTGAACACGTACAGGATCGCCCCCGTCACTAAATCAGATTTGATAGACCACAAATCCTCGCTAAAGAACACCGATTCCTTCCAAGGATGATTCGCGAGGCTATTGAAATCAAAAAACATCCTAATTTCAATAGAGAAGATGGCTGGATGCTACCATCTGCTTGGGATCCTATAATAAATAAAATTAAATCCCAACCCAAGCATACAACTGCAAGACTTCAAGATACCATAAGTTCATACTGTGTAGATCGGAACAAAAGTTAAATTTTTATCTATGGTAACCGCTGTTAACTATGACATTTTGACGTTGAACATCTCAGTCATCCCCCTGACCATGGGTGCTGTAAAGCGCTCGAAACGTCGGGTATTTATAGTTAAATATACGCGATAAAATCCGTAAAAACTAGTATTATTTCAATGTAATTACAATGATAAGAAAATATGGGGTAAAATATTTTACTATGCCTAGCAACATTTTCATTATATTCGCGTCTGTCAAATTTACGATTTATTATTTTGTTTTGATAAATGTTTTTTTACAAAAATATAAGATGCTTGGCAGTATTGACCCGTCACATGAGATTTTTAATTTTTTTTTCATTATTATTTGATGAGTTTTGACACCCTTTCACAGCACAGTACGTCATTTTTTTTGCAAAATTGCGCGAGATCTTTACACGACTACGTGAACTAGAGTACTGACGCGCCGAAAGTCGTACGTAGCCTTAAAAGGCTAACTTGAAATGGCTTCACTTTGTGTGGGCCTACTGCGGTTCTAAGCCTAATAATTCTATGGGTGGCAATATAATCGCCACTGCCTTATGGTGTGTGGTGCATGGCTTGGTGTTCAAGTTGTTGTTTTTTCTTTTGTAGGTAAAAATGCTGCGACTTCTGAACGAGTAAGCTATCGAGGACGAATTGCAGCTTTTATTTGGTCTTCCAGAGGTTTCCGAAGACGAATGTGAACCTGAGTCAGAAACTTTTACCGACTTAGACGTCAGTAATTTACTGAGTGGTTCTGATATGGATACTGTCCTTTTTTGTTCCGGAGTTGAGGAGGTGCCGCATCAGGAACTTGTAGAGTCAGCTTCTTCAAATAGCTTACATACTGAAGAGCATTCAACAAGCTCTGCTGAAGTTCAACCATCAACATCCAATCTTCATTTGGATAGGCGCCGCTTTCGTATCAGCGAATCTTCTTCTCCAGAAGTTCCTCCCCTTTGTCGTCCCAGTGTCGTAGCTCCATCACCAATACCTTCAGTACCAAGTACAGCCATAATGTCTGATACAGATGAGTCAGATACTGAAGAAGATGAATGGAAAAAGGTTCTTTACCCACAGCATCCCGATATAGAATACTTTGATAGCATACACTTAGAAAGCAAACAATTTATGCCAAGTAGGACCAGACCTGCTGCTTATTTTTCGCATTTTTTTGACCACAACCTTATAGATCTCATTGTACAACTAACTAATATTTACGCTGAGCAAAAACGAAGCCTTGGCTGGACGCCTGTAGACACTGCTGAAATAAAGGCTTTTCTAGGCATTATTATTTTGATAGGACTCCACCCACTGCCAACTATAGATTTATATTTAATAATATAATAATATATTTTTAATTCAGACCATAGTCCATATAAAAATGTGTTAGTAAACAATTAACTTATATGACTATGTTAATACAAAATGTGTTAGTGACTATTACTTATGCTATGTTAGTCCTTAATCTACCTTAACCTATTCAGCACAAGCGTGGGCGCTGAGGCCTAGTGCCGGTGTGCACATCATTCCAGCTCCTCCAGAGAGGGCTGTCTAGCTTAGAGGCCAACGCGCTGAGGAGGGTGTTAGTGCTTCTCACAAGCCTGTTCATCATGGACGCGGCACGCTTTCGCACAATCGCGTAGAAGTCATCCACACGACTGTCCGCAAACATTGCCGACGCACTGCAGTTTCGCGGCTTCTTCAACACCGCCCTCAGCACATTGTTGTATTGCACTCTCAGGGCGCCATAGGTCCGCTGCGAATAGCCCGTCCACAGACTGCACGTGTAGAATGATTGGCAGTAAGCTTTAAACAACGTTATCTTAACCTGCTTTGTACACCGTGCAAATCTGCGGGCCAACATGTTGCCTCTCATCGCCAGCGCCCGGCGCTCGCGTTCAATGTCGCTGTCATCCATCAGGCTGTCGGTTACTATATGGCCAAGGTACCTGAACTCAGTAACCTGTTCAAGGGGACACCCACATAGTTGAAAGGTGGGTTTCAATATGGGTAGCTTATTTTTCCCCTTGAACACAAGAAACTTACTTTTGTTGGAGTTGTAACTGAGTCCATGTACCTTAGCATACCCTTCACAAATTTGTATTAATCGCCTAAGACCACTGATTGAGGGGCTCAACAGAACCATGTCGTCAGCATAACTAATGTTGTTTATACTGACCCCATCTACCGAACAACCGACACCAGCTCTACTGAGGCTCACAATCAGTTGATTTACATACAAATTGAACAGCCTAGGTGACGTCAGCCCTCCCTGCCGTACTCCACACCCCAGGCTATAATCTTCGCTCAACGCATCATCCCATCTCACCACATTTTTCTGGTTACCATACCAATACTCGAACAAAGCGATTAGCTCAGGCTTTAAACTGGTTTCGTTCCTAAGCTTTTGCCACAAGATTTTGTATAGCACTCGATCAAACGCTTTAGACAGATCCAAAAAGCAAGCATATACCGGTGTTTTTCTATCAGTGTAATACCGCACAGTCTGCTTGAGGCACAGTATTGCGCTCTCTGTTGAAAGTTCCGGTCTAAAACCAAACTGCGCATCGTGTACTTGGAAAGATTTACGTAACTGCGCGTCAAGCAGACTGTCGAGGACTTTAGCTGTTATTGTTGCCAAGGATATCGGCCTATAATTGGATCTGTCCGCCGCATCGCCCGTCCTGTTTTTAATAATAGGCACTACCACTGTTCTCATCATAGCCTCTGGAAGGTAACTGTGGCTTACACAAAGATTGTACAGTAGCTTGAGGACTCTGGCAATGTGCACACCCGCATATCTCAAATGTTCAACGCTGAGGCCATCGTGCCCCGGCGACTTACCACGTTTCATGTTTCTAATTGCATCATTCACTTCCTTGAAAGTGAAACGCAAGGGGCTAATCCCCGAGTTCACGATGTCCTCACCGTCGTCCAAACTACAAACTATCTTGCTAGGATCCACTTTGAACTGAGCCTTGAACATATTGGCAATGTTTTCACTTCCAGTTATGCCACCCACTTCTGCTGGAAGAGGCACCCGAGCATTCAGGCCTTTCGTTTGCTGCCAGAACTCTCCGAATTTCTTCGCCTCACATGACATTGCTAATATGTCCATCTTTATTTGTTCCGCATTGTCTTGGCACCACTTAAGCTTGCTCTTAAAAACCCTGCGCGAGTCTCGCATATCCTCATACAGAGCTCCACATGTAGGCCGTCCTGCCCAAACCCAGGTTTGAAAGCAGAGATGAGCCTTTATATGCGCCGGTCTCACATGTCTATTCCACCCTGTGATGTAGCCTTTCTTATTTCGTTTTAAACATTTATGGCTGTAACTCGCAGCATCCAGCAATATAGATGTAATATCGTCATACAATTTCTCTATGACTAAGTTGTGTTCCGGTTTGTCACACATCTTATCAGAACAATCCCTCAATTCCGCCGGAAAGTCAAGTAGCCTTAGCCTGCTATTACAAAATTCAGCATACAGTTTTATCTGATCACTATCTCTGTGACCCCAGATTACCTTATTATCCGCCGTGTACTGAGCTGACTTCACTTGAGGTCGGACTAAGTTGAATTTACAGTAAACTTCCAGAGGATAATGATCAGACCATGTCACATTGGTTTTAACATGTATGCTGTCAATATATTGCATTGCCTGTCAATATATCCATTGCCTTACAACTAGTATGGCTAACTAGTTGTAAGGCAATGGTCTAACCAGCGCGAGCAGCCGTGACTATCACTAATATATGTATATACATCAGTATTATTAGATAAAAATTCATAATCAGAACATACCACGCCTGCTCGCTACAAAACTGAGACAATTCATTAAAAAATAACTCTCCAGGATGTGCGTTAAAATCGCCTAAGATAAAAACAATATTAATTCCGCAGTCCTCGACAATTGCATTAATTTCACTTAGGCACTCTGTGAACTCGAAAAGATTATCGGTGCAGTCAGTAGGCATATAAACCGAGAAAATTAGCATAGTATACCCACGAAGCTGGCATTTGATCGCACACAATCTCACACTGTTACATTTCACTACTGACACGGATGAAAACATATTTCTACGCCATAATAGCGCGACGCCTCCGTGTGGACGGCCGCGCAAAATGCCGGCGCTTGTGTCTACAGCCGTTGTACCCGTTGCTTCGAAGTCTTTATGTATAGTGCCAAGGTATGGAAGGTCAAAATCCATCAGCCAGGTCTCTTGAATAGCGACCACCGACGCTCCCTCGCATAAGCTTCTCACACAATCAACCGACCGCTTCAGGGACTTACAATTGAAACTGACTAACTTCAACGTGTGACATTTATTTTTATCATTAGTTTTGTGTTGGTCCATTAATATTTCGGTCCTTATCTCGATTTACATTAGCCTTTCTTGCATGCCTAAAAAATATATAACGCCTAAAAAATATGCCCTCCGGCCATAATTCTTTATTACTAAATAACGACAGTTTGCTCCTAGGTATCAAAAACTTAAATGAACTATAGTCCCTAGAAGATTTCATATTTATCTTTTCTGGCACTATTCTTATCTGAGTCTTTTGTTGTATATATTCCGCTACATCATGTTCAGTATTTTCTTTTGAGACATTATATATATACAACGGGATTTGTGTGTCCGCTGCTTTCGATCTCGAAGTCGAGTCTGTCATCGCTGTACCTCTCTCACCTTTGAAACGCGATGTACGTGTTCCTCGACGCCTCACTACACGAACCCACTCCCCTTCACTATCATTCTGCAAACCACCTTCATTCAAATCAACCGCCGCCGCCGGTATAACACTGCGCCGTGACGTCACCTCATCGGTTACTCGATGCGCGAGCGCTTCATTGTTCACAGTGCCCTGTCTTATAATATCATTTTCGCTCCGGACACTCTCGCTACGCACTCTATTTGGATAGTGCATAGGTGCGACAGGGATAGATGGCTCAGTTAACACCGCCGGTGCATCTCCCAGCATAGACGGTGACTCATGCACTACGCCCGTACTCCGTGACCTCATCGGAGGCGATGTGACATTCTCTAGGCCGGTCATTAACCCCGACTGCCCGCTATTACAATAATAACTTTCATTCATGCAATAACCGCCTCTTTTAGCATTTACATAGGGAGTATATTCTTTTAACTCAGAGGGAGATACCTTATCCCTAACATTGCATTGCATTTCGCCTTTGCATTGCGTTTTATAATGTTCAAAATCATTTTTCGTGATAAAATCTTCTTGCTTCTCTTGCAAATCCCTTACCTGCTTCTGTATTACAAGTATATCCTTCAGGAGACATGTAGCGTCGACGTGGTCAAACGAAACCGGCGGCAACTTTTGGAGATCCTTTGCCACAAAAATTGGGATATGTTCGGGATCAGTACCTTTTAATGCCGAAATTATATCGTCTATGTTTTTCTGCTTGCTGTCCTCCCCTTTCCTTTTTACCAACCGCTTCGGAATGGACTCGAAAAGCAGACATTTCGCTTTAAAGATATCTTCGTCATCAAAAGACTGCCGGCAAATTAGAGCCAGGCTCACATTGTTCATTACATCTATTTTGTTTTGCACAAAACTAAGAACCTCATTCACCACTAAATTACAGTTGTTACACTTTAGCGTATTCATTATATCGCAAGAGGTCAGCGACCTCTGTCTAACCGCACGCGCTGTCAGCTGGCGACTGATCCATTTTTATTTGTCAAGTGATCCATTTTTTCGTGTTGTTGAGATAGCATCAGTTATGACATATAAACGATTCAAAAAGGTATTAGAAAATATACATTTGAACGACAATTCGAAGACGCCGCCGAGAGGAGCACCTGGTTATGATAAACTGTACAAAGTTCGCCCGCTTCTTGAGATGCTCGATAAAGCTTGTCAAAGTTCTGCAAAAACCACAACTTCCCAATATATTGATGAGTCAATGATACAATTTAAAGGCATCTCATCATTGAACCAATACATGCCGCTAAGAGCTATAAATAGAGGATATAAAGTGTGGACTAGAGCAGACAGCGAAACTGGCTATGTTCTTGAGTTACAAGTTTACAGAGGGAAACGTGATGACCAATCAACAGAATTCAGATTAGGAGCCAATGTTGTCAAATCTCTTACACAGAAGCTAATAGATGAGGGGTTCCGTGGACATGTGACTTTCGATAACTTTTTCGCATCCTATGAAATATTGCAATATCTATTCAATAATGGTATATACGCCATATCTACCGTCAACAGCAATAGATCAGACCAACCACTCATAATAGAAACGGCGAAAAACAAGAATTTACCAAGAAACAAAAAAATATCTATGGCAAGAAGCGATTTTAGATGGCACATCAAAAATAATGTAGCATTTGTAATCGAATTCTGTGATCGATTCTAAAAAGTCTATTCAATGTACACTAATCATACTACATTATACAGAGCGCATGGGTGTAGTAGACCGATTTGATCAGAAGCGGAGCACTTACGAAGTTGGCAGGAGGAGCAAGAGGTGGTGGCTCCGAATTTTCTATGTTTGTGTATCACAAATACATTTTTGCTCTACTCTACAAACACGCGGATACACAATCCACTTTCACAACTGCATTTTAGGTTGTGTCTGGCCCGTGGTCTCATCAACAATTATTCGTCTAGGAAGAGAAGCCTGGAGAGCCAGCCCCAATACTCCATGAAACGGCCAAAAATCTCCACCAATCGACAAAAAATTGTGGGCGTGGCGGATGAGATAGGCTTGGTAAACGTGGGTAGTCATCGCCATGAGCAATTGGGCTCATGGCGCCGTTGTCGTGTGTGTTTAGCACAAAAACACGGAATAAGAGATTGAAAATACAATGCTCTACATGTAAAGTGCCACTTTGTGTGGTTCCTTGTTTTGATATATTTCATAGTCAGCAGAACTGAAAATATACCAAAACGGCGAACTACCAGATGGATCTGCATTTACTTTGCTATCTTTTTTTAGTAATAAAGAGTATACTTAATTGAAAAGTACGTTTTATTGACAGGCTGTGGCAACTATATTGCCACCACATTTTCCAAAATTCCCTAAAGCTTTTCCAAAAAAATCAAAACACTATTTTCATCATAAAAGTATTATTTTTCACTTTTTGTTTGTTATACATTGCTTTCATCTCTAGTTTCCTCGGTCTTATAAAGGATTATATAATGTTCCATTCAAAAAATCTGGATTATTTTGGTATAAAAGTGATGGAAGTTTTTTTACTATGTTACTTTTAAACTTCTCCAAGCGATGTGGATTTACTGGAACAAACACAACTTTATTATCTACTTGCTTTGGTTTTAGTAAACATAAGGTAACGAAACTAATTGTCCACAGTGAACAGAGCTCAATTTTTGAATTATACATTTATTGAACGGCTTAACACTTGTAAAAATGTTATCTTTACATGTTGCACTAGATTCAGCAATACGCGTTGGCTCCTAAAATAAATTAAAAAGACCATAAGATTTAAACAATGATCTAAATTTAATTTTGGTGGAGGAAGCTTCTAGGAGATTAATATTAGAATCTCCACATATTACGTTGTAATTAATTAGATAAGATAAGATAAGATTTTAATATTGTTACGAGCTTGAGGTTCGTGACAATAAAAATTGCCGATAGAATTACCTAAATTAACACTTTAATTTTCTTTACACCAATTAAAACTTAAAACACTAATAATTAATCACACTGATTCACTTTATTTCGCTCCGAAGCTTCGCTTGTCTCGCCAAATTTAATACTTCCCCGATCGCATCTTGCAGCGCCTATAAATATAAATTAGCACCGAAATATCCAGAATATTCAAGTAAACACACGCAAGGTACCGAGAGTTCGAGTTTCAACTTCTAGAAGTTTAGTTCTTCGGTTCGAGACTAGATGGCGCTGTCGGTTGAAAGATTAGTGATGTCATTTTCTGGAAAGCTCCCCTCGCTCTCGTCTCTGACACTAGATGGTGCTAGTGCCGTCGACTTAGGCGCGTAACACTGCCCCCTCCTAAGACATGCTCGTCCCGAGCATTATCGGCCCCATAATAACGCGCCAGGCGATCCACATGGACGATCTTAAGAGTCCCTCTTGCGCCTTTCTGTATCCGGTAGGTTACATCGTTGATCCTGGTCACAATCCGGTACGGGCCGTCCCATTTAGCTTGAAGCTTAGGAGATTTCCCTTTGCTGCAGACTGGATTGTGCAACCACACTAGTGAACCTTCGTCGAACCCTTTGTTGTTCATTTTGCGGTCGTACCGGGTTTTCATCTTTTCAGACATTTGCTGGCCCGATTGTCTGACGTGCTCATAAACGTCATTTTGTTCCGCAAGTCATTTGCATAATCGGTTATACTGCGTGGAGCCTCAGGTGGTATCCCGGTGATCAGGTCCGCAGGCAGTCGTAATTCTCTCCCAAAGTTTGCGAAAGCTGGTGTCACTGATGTACTTTCGTGAACAGCGCTTCGATATGACAACAAAAACGGTTGTATGTGCTTGTCCCAATCTCGTTGCCGATTGTCTAGAACTTTTGCTAGGTACCTCTCCAATGTCTGATTAAATCGTTTCACCATTCCATCAGATTGCGGGTGATAAGAAGTCGTTCTTGTTTTATGAGTACCCATAACTCGGCAAGTTTCCTGGAATATTTGAGACTCAAAATTCCTTCCTTGATCGCTGTGAATCTCTAAAGGTACTCCAAAACGACAGAAGACTTCATGAACTAGTTTATCAGCAACTGTTGAAGGTTCTTGATTTGGAATGGCGAAAACTTCTGGCCACTTTGTGAAGTAATCCATCACAACCATGAAATACTTGTTATCGCTTTCACTCTCCGGAAACGGGCCTGCCACGTCAATGGCTATTCTCTCCCATGGTGCACCAACATTGTACAACTTCAATGCACCTCTACTACGAGTCTGAGGTCCCTTTACAGCCGCACAACTTGTACATTTGCGACACCAGTCCTCGAAATCGTTTCGACAGTGGACCCAATAAAACCGTTATCGGATCTTCAGTAGAGTTTGTTTAACTCCCAGATGGCCTCCGGAACAATCATTATGGTACAGCTGTAGAACATCCGGTACTTTAGCTTTAGGGACAACGATTTGCAAATGACAGCTGTCTCCCCTAACATTTTCCCATTTACGGCACAGAACTCCATCCTGAAGCAGCAAGCTGTCCCACTGGGCCCAATAGCTTTTAGTGGTCGAACTCATTGCTGAGACGTCGCTCCACTTAGACTTGGGAGCACTGGCCTTTATCCATTCCAGAATCGGCTTGATGTCCGGATCTTCCTGCTGTGCATGTCGTAGGCTGTCCTTCCACCCGTTGCTGAGGTGGTCTGTCCTGAGCATCCTCACGGGTACCACTTCCTTACTCTCTTGCCTACTACAATGGTTGCAATCTTCAGGACAAGGTCTTCTTGTCAATGCATCTGCGTTGCCGTGAGATTTCCCGCTGCGATGTTCGATCTCAAAGTCATACTCCTGTAGTAGTTCAATCCACCTCGCAACTTGTCCTTCTGGATTTTAAACTGCAATAACCATTTTAGTGCAGCATGGTCAGTTCGTAAGTGAAATTTCCGCCCCAGAAGATATTTGCTAAAATGCTGCAACGACTTTACCACAGCTAGCAATTCGCGTCTTGTGACACAATAGTTCCTTTCCGGTTTTGACAACGTCTTGCTGAAGTACGCTATCACGACCTCTTGGTCACCATTCCGTTGAGACAACACACCGCCAAGTCCTATATCACTTGCATCCGTGTCAACTATAAATTATTTGCTTGCATCAGGGTATCCCAAAATAGGTGTTTTGCACAGACGGTCCTTGAGCTTCTGGAATGTGATATTGCAACTTTCATCCCAGCAGAAATGTCGCTTCTCCTCGGTTAGCTTGTGCAGAGGTTTGGCTATATCTGCAAAGTTCTTCACAAATCGCCGGTAATAGGAGCACAAACCCAAAAATGCTCTAACCTGCGTCTTGTCTTTTGGAAACGGTCAATCCTTGACAGCGGCGATTTTCTCTGGATCCATACGGATACCTTCTTCCGACACTACATACCCCAAAAAGTTGACTTGCCGTTTGAATAGTGAACATTTCTTCGGACTCAACTTGAGGTTGGCACTCTGAATCTTCATGAGCACGCGTTCCAGGTTTTGAAGGTGTTCCTCAAACGTACGGCCTACGATGATGATGTCATCCAAGTAGACCAGACAGGCATCGCCAATCAGCCCGGTAAGTACAAGTTCCATCAGCCTTTCAAACGTTGCTGGAGCATTGCACAATCCAAACGGCATTACTTTAAATTGCCACAGACCCTTTCCCGTCGAGAATGCAGTTTTCTCCTTGTCCTTAGGGTCAATTTCAACTTGCCAGTAGCGACTTTTTAGATCCAGCGTGCTAAACCATTTTACTCCTGTAAGCATGTCCAGCGTGTCATCAATTCTTGGCAAGGGATAGCTGTCCTTCTTTGTAACGTCGTTCAGACGGCAGTAATCAACACAGAACCGCATGCTGCCATCCTTCTTCTTTACCAGCACCACGGGTGAACACCATGGACTAGATGAAAGTTCAATAACACCATCTTTGACCATTCCCTCAATCATTTCCACTTCCTTTTCACGTGCTACCGGCAATATTCTTGGTCGCTGACGGATAGGCAATTCCTCTCCTGTGTTTATTTTGTGTTGAACTAAGCCAGTCTTTCCTATGTCAGCATCGTTTGATGAGAATACATCGGCGTACTTGAGTAACAACTTCTTCACCTTGACCAATTCGTTCGGGGAGAGAAAACTGCGACAGTCTTCCAAAAGTGTGGTCACTCTCGTTTCTGGGTCCTTGCTGGGGGTCCCACTCGATATATATTGACACCGACGTAACCAATCTACTTCCTCACAAGTACCAACCAGTGTGCCTTTTTCTATAATCTGTTCCCGGTCACAAAGGTTCAGCACACGTACTCTTGAGATGTCAGTGGTCCTGACCAAGGTTCGAGCCACTTTCCATGGAAGGTCATTGTCTAACCTTTCCACGAGTACACAACGATGAGGTTGTTCAGGATTCCGAGGAAGACTAACCGGCACAATCGTTTCCGATCTCGGCGGAAGAACAATCTTCTTAAGTTCCCTGGTAACGCCCCTTCCACAAAAATTTCCTCTTGTCCACACTTCAAAACACCTTGCTTAACGTCAATCGCACAACAATTCTTCCTCATGAAGTCTAGGACCAGGATGCAGTCGTCCATTATATCAGCCACGATGACATTATGCAGGTAGATCATGTTGCCTAGCTTCAACTCCATCTCTTTCTCTCCACGGACGGGTATACGCAGACCGGTGGCTGTTACCAAATTAATGCGTTCTCGGTTGTAAGCGGAGTCCCCAAGG